ATTACGCAGTTAATTTAAATTTCCAGAAAGTTCTATAGCGCGGCGCGCTGTGATTGGTCGATATTTTCTTAAACAAAATAAAGTTGTTTATATTAACTATTGTCAAATCGACCTTCTATATAAACATATTGAGAGTTGTAAATACATGGTGAAACTATATTTAATACATTATTTAGTCAATTTTTCCGTATTTTCATTTTTTAAACAAATAAATATTCCTTAATCACTTTCTCGTTTAAAGTCATTTTTGCCGTTGTGAACAGTCATTTTGGCCGTCTCGAACAAATAGAATGATAAGATTATTCACTTTATGTAGTCTACTGATTTATCTTATTTTAACACGTTTATTATATAATATAGCGATTTAGTAATAAATTTATAAATTTAAAATAAGTGTTTTATATTTTTGATAGACCATTAGTGTGTGTTTTTGTGAGTTTTCTGCTGGAGAGCTGTTCTTTTTAAACAGTTTTATATTTTGAATTAAATAAAAAAAATAGAATTAAAAAAATTACTTCGGTCGGATTTGAAACGCAAATATGAATAAGTAAAATTTTCTTTTTATATTTTTCGACGAGGGAAAAATGCAAGTACTTGCGTATTCGAACACTATTTCCTATAAATGTTCTACTTAATATGCCTATGTAAATAAACAGGTATTCAAAGACAATTGGAAGGCATTAATATCTCTCACAATATTAAACGATGTCCGTTGACATTTGGTCGTGTTCAATATCGTAAACTAATACCGGGAACGACCTTTATGATGCATTATACCTCTTCGGACAATAGAGAGTAGTAATGGAGTCTGCGTTTGTTGTATGACACTGATCAAGATAATTTAAAATTATTGGTAAATAGCTGTCACCAGGTGCCTCGCTGCCGCATAAGAAATAATTGTAGAAATATCGTTTTAAACTTGGAAGAGTCATATTGTTTAAGTAGGAATGATAACAAATAAATTGAAATAGAATGATATATAACTTTCAAATAAATTCGTCGGTACGATACACGCGTCACCTACCGTAAGTACATAGTTAGTTTTACTATGCCTATAACCATCGCGCAAGGGCAAGCAATATGTTGACAAAGTTTCACCGCAGTTTGATGAACGGTATGCTAGCGTATAAAATATGAACAAACAAAAATAAATTTTATTATATTACATTATAAATATCACACGATAACTTTCATATATTATATTCTAAAATATTATAAAATATATAATATTTTATTAATTCTATACCGGTTCACTTTTTGCCGGGAAGAAAAAATAGAGTATAATAGGTGAACGAAAAAGAAGCAAAAAGTTCTTTCAAATTAAAAAAAAAATTAAACCGATTATGTTGTACTTTGAGTGTATTTTATAGTATTATGGAATTTAACCCTAGGCCTCTATAGACTTTTGTGAAAATATACATATTAATACTGTATAAGCGAGCAATAAGAATAACTTACAACGAGAATCCTGTATGTAATTGTACTTAAGTCTTACAATCAATATACTGTACGTATTACCATGTAAGGAAATAAACATACTGACGCGCTCTATTCTCTGCATGTTTATGAGATCATTAAGGACGTTCGTGAAAAATAAAGGAATTAAAAAAATCTTTAAATATATTCAAACTAGAATACGTTTATACCATAGAATGGATGTTCTTAAACTTAAATCGGTTAAGATTACTTTTAATTTTACCCATCTTCAATTTACCACCGTATAAACTTCCGTACAGGCCGACCCTTGCCCACTTTGCAACTCACTTCTGTGATATAATTCCTGACAATATTATTGAAGTACATAAACCGAAGCTTATACGTGGTAGGGCCACACTACAGCTATATTACGATTGCAGCACGAATGGGCCAGCTAGACCGGGGAAGGACCACACTCTCCCAATATAGCAGCGTAAAAAGCAGCCGCAGCAGGAAACCTTTCTTACTGGAAACGGGGCATTCCATTTTAGTCCTCAAGGGTGACGAAACATCTGCATGTTGGTTCTTAATTAAGGATAAATGCAGATGTATATGAGCCACAGTATCTACTTACCTTTAGGTGCAGTGTGCGCTCGTTTTTCACCCATATTCTACAAAGTTCAATTCAAAACCACATTGCAAAATACAACTGTTACCCCGTTAACCACTTCAACTAAGCTTGAAATGCTTGTGCTGGTTGTGGTTCACGATATTATTCGAATTGCGGATTCGAATATCTTCGTTTGCGAATCAAAATGCTGATGCGTTGTCACCCGTGAGGACCAACATGAAATGCCTCTTTTCCAGTAAAAAGGGTCTCCGGTTCTCTACACACACCATACGAAAAACAGCAGTGTTCAACTGCTATTTTACGCTGCTATTCTGTGAGAGCGAGGTCCTTCCCCGGTCGAGCCGACCCTTTCATGCTACAACTATACTACTAATATAGCTGCAGCATGGCTCTGCCAGGTAAAAATATATTGACGACTATACTTAGAGGATAACGACGTATGAAAAAAAATCTTTCACCACTTTATCAACAAATCAGTTTGCCTTGGTTTGAGTGAAGTAATGTGACAGTGCTGCGGTTCTGTTTACTTATCACCTGCTTTCATGAAATAATTTAACAATCACAGTGATAAATAATATGTGAAATAGCGGCATATCAATTGAAGTTACATTATTTAAATTTGGAATTGATGTGATAAATTGTTATTCAGAAAGCGAAAGAACTTTTTAAATTTGAACAGAACTTACGGTCATCTTTGCAAATAAATAGAATTGAAGTGTATGTCTGTAATAACGAAATGAATGCCTTTTATTGAGCTGCGGGGGTTAATTGCACGCAATTACGACATGAAAACCCGTTTTAATTTTTTTGTATGTCTGTCTGTGGTAATCTTCGGAATGGCTGAACTTGTATTAAAAATTTACAAACATATAGAAAGCAATGCCAGGAATACATTTAGGCTATATTTTATCCAAAAAATTGAGTTTTTTTTTTTAAAACGATTAGAAAATGTCTTCGATTACCTGAAATTTAAATTGCGCCACATAAATAATCTAACTCCAGGTCAGGGCGGGTGGGTGTTATTATATTAAGTAAACTACTGAAATCGGTAAATACTGATGACGTGATGTTATTCTGACCGATTTTCGCCACTCAGTCCTTTCCTATGTACTTTTTAACGTATAACATAACGTATGTATATGGGCAAATGCAAAGACTTTCATCATTAACTACTCATTTCAAATATAACACTGAAGTGATAAAATCGGGGGTACGCTAATATGAAACGGGGACAGCAATAAATATATTCAGATAATAGACTCCAAAACCAACCATGTGATTTTAAATTAGGATTTGGACCCAAAAATCTATGACAGAATTGACGGATATTCGGTTCGGTAGTCTGTAGAAAAACTTACATAAATAATATTTCAGATATTCTAGTTAAAAATAAGTAATCTGAATTGCCACAATATAGCCTTGTTAACGAACCTGGTACCTATAACGTTAATGAGATGAAACTAGAACAAGACTCTTTACGATGTTGACGACCTCATTTTCGAAGTGAAAATTTGCACCGATAACTTATAGCCTACTCTATAAAAGTAAGTCAGCAAGAAAGGTTGTTTTTGGGTTAATGGGAAACCATTATTCCAGATCTCTAGTGCTAGATATTGATGGTCTAATTTATTTGGATTATTTAAATAAAAGTCATAATATAACCTCTTCTTTTCCTTTATTTTGATTTTAAGGATATTGGAGAGTATTAGATTTCTAAGAGGCATGTATTTAAAACTACTAATGCTTCAGTTAACCATCCCAAAATAAGCTTAAAGTACTTGTACTGGTAGATGCTTAAAGATTGTAGGCAAATTATGGATTCGACTTATGACTCTTTTACTTCGTAGTCGGTACATTAAGCATTAGACAATCGACATTTAAAATACTTAGCTAAATTATACTTTCTAATTTATAACAATATGAACTACAAAGGGACGAAATAGACTGATGTATTTTTTAATTCCGACACCGCGCGGTAATATTTTATTTGGTTTTTCTGACATTTCCCGCAGTCGACCCTTACGACACCCATGGGACGAAATGGGCACGGGGAATATTTCTATTCCTATTTCTACAAAAATTTAAGATAAACCTTAGCTTGCACGATAATTTCATTCAGTTTCTCATCACATTAAATATAAATTTTATAGAATAAGGATGAAAACTGAGCGCATAGTTCACCTGATGGTAAGTGGATGCTATAGCTCATCCTCGATTTTTTTTTATTGGATAAGTGTGAAAAGTGAGCACACAGTTCACCTCATGGTAAGTGGTTGCTGCTACCCATAGACATCTACATCTATCCTCTATTACAAATCAAAATGCAGATGCGCTGTCACCCGTGAGGACTAAGATGAAATGCCTTATTTCCAGTAAAAATGGTCTCCGATTCTCTACACTCACCATACGAAACACAGTAGCGTTAAGCTGCTATTTTACACTGGTATTCTGTGTCCTTCCCCGGTCGAGCCGACTCATTCGTGCTACAACTATGTTAGTAATATAGTTGCAGCATGGCTCTACCACGTAAAAAAAATTAAAATGCAGATGCGTTGTCACCACTGAGGACTATGGTAGAATGAGTCCTTTCCAGAAAGAGGGTCTCCGGTTCTTTACACTCATGGTACGATTAACGATTACGATCCCCGTACATTAAGCTGCTATTTTATGCTGGTATTCTGTGAGAATATTGTCCTTCCACGTCCGAACCGAACCATTCGTGCAATAACCATAATATAGATGCAGTATTAATATATATGTAATATATATCTATATTATCTCTATTATCTGCAACTTACAAAAATTATTACTATTCACTTTTGCTTTAAAGATTTCCTGTTTAATTTTATTAAGAAAAATATTAAAATACATTTTTTATATAATTTTTTTATTTTAGAAACTGATGCAACTTTTTTTGTTACAGATTAATGAGCAGAAAGGACTTTGATATGAAATGGACACTCGAGATCTTTTGTGTTCATCCTGGTTAATCATTATTTTTCTAAATCAGTCGGGCTGTGATTGGCTTAATTGTGCTAACATTGTTGAATGTCACTGCAAGTGGGCATCAGGAAAGAAAACGGCTTCATGTATATCAGCGGCATTAACACATTTGCCGCGATTAGCACCAGATATTCAGGTTCTGGATTTACATGGAAATCCATTAGTAGAACTAAACAAAGACGCATTCGCGAACATATATTTATTAAATTTACAACGATTAAATTTAAGTTCAACAAAATTACAGAAAATTCACAAAGACGCTTTTAGAGAACTACGAATACTAATAGAACTAGATCTTTCACAGAATGAACTTATTCATCTTTCGCCTGATACATTTAAAGGCAACGATCGATTAAGACTTTTAGTGCTTAATGATAATCATTTTAATGAATTCGTAGCACAGCAATTTCCCCCGTTACAGCATCTAAAGAGACTGGAAATTTCACGATGTCAGCTTCGAAAAATTCATCCATTTGCATTTACGAATTTAAGAGCCTTGGAAACAATACATATACAGCAAAATTTATTATCTTACATCCATCCGAACACGTTTAACTTACCACTGTTGAAAACTCTAACTTTATCTGACAACCCTTGGTATTGTGACTGCAGACTACGTTATTTTCACGAGTGGTTTATCAATGCGAATTTCGGCAATGAAGAAGTATTATGTGCTGGACCAAATATTCACGCTCAATCATCATGGCGTGATATCAAAGGGCAAGAAATGAATTGCCCTCCAACGGTGGTGTCAAGCCCTTCCGTGCTGAGAACAGTAGTTGGAGCTGATATCACATTTGGATGCTTTGTGAATGGAGATCCAAAACCAGTTGTATCATGGTTGTTTCACCATAAAGAAATTCAAAATTTTACTTCAGATAAAAATAAAATTTGCATTAAAAAATACGAAATTAACAATTTAGATGAGTACAATAATGACATTATAAACAAAAGTTCACAGTGGGTTAATGTAACCATTAGTAACGTGACAGACACATTTTCAGGAGAATGGAAATGTCATGCAAAAAGTTCTGTTGGTGAATCTAGTGCATATGTGACACTATATTTACCTAAAGCGCGTACGGCGACCGCTCGTGCCGCGCCAGAGTACTCTTTTTTTATTCTAGTAATAGGGTCTATGTTAGCAATGACTGGACTAGGGTTGATAGCCACTTGTGCCTGCTGGAAGTTTAGGCGTCAAAGGTTACCACCAAGTAGAAGTTTTACTGATCAAGAAAAGAAGTTACTTGATTCATCATTAGCAGCTAGTTGCGATAGGCAAAGCGTTGACTTAGAATCTTCTTATGCCTTTGAAATGTTGGATAGATCGCTTTCGATGGATAGTGAAGGAAGCCAGCGATACTTAGAGACAGTTCCAACTACTTTAGAAGCTCCTGAAATGTTTCCTCCACCTCCGAGCGAGTTTGCTTTGCCAGCTCCTTATGCTAATATTTTTATATCAGTGCAGTTATCGGACACACAAGAAGAATATCCCGATTTTTTAGGAGGTGGAGCAACTTTACCGCGTCGAAGCAAAACATGTTTTCTAGAATCTGCATATGATAATATGGGTCCTAGAGTAACAGCTGCTGGGAATTCTAATTGGTCCTTACCGGAAGATAATGCATCAAATAATAAAGATAGTGAGAAAAACATAATTACATCGTTTTCAACAATCTCAACAGAGTTAACTGCTCTTTAAGTTTTTCATGTATAAAAGTGAGTGAAATAATTTTATTAATACCAGCAATAAGTAGTAATTACCAAGGATTTATGTACCAATAATTTTTAGTATTATTTTTTAAAAAGCTATTTAAATGAATGCGTGTATAAATTGTTATTAACACAATACATATTTAAAGTAGGTAATTCCATGTTTTCAGTTTTCAACGTTACATCGCCCTGTGATATATTATTTATCAATTGTATGAAGATATATCTTAATTTATATATGTGTATGTTATTATACATTCTTAAATCCATGTAGGCTGTTTTAATCCTTAAATATAAAGAAATTTTTTTTCATAATATCATGCAATCAAAATAAGTGCAAAATCATGACTATATTTAAATGTAAAATCTTGTTTTATTTCCTTATATTTGTCGTATGATGAACGTCTTCTTGGTAAAGCAATGACGAGTACTTAATATCACATACAAACATATCAATTATTTAGAGGTGTTATCTGAACGTCTCTTCAAGTTTTACTATTTCATGGCTTTAAATTTTACATATATCAATAATGCGAGACACAAAAATTAATATTATTATCTATAAATATCTATAGACAAGATGTCTGAAAGCTATTCAATCCAAAAATATTAAGTTAAAAAGCAAATGTATGTAATGATGTAGATTTTAAAATAACTGTTACACTGTAGCAAAATTTATTAGAAAATAGTTTAAAATATTTTAATATAAATTTCATTGTGAATTGATAATATGAAGCTTTATGTAAATAGGTGATTACACTAAAAAATGTACCAAATATACAAAATAATTAATTAAACTTAAATTAAGAATTACCACCTAAGTTTTAATATGAACTGTTTTAATATTAAAACGAATTGAAAAATAAAATTCAGTTTTATTCCATTTCCACGAATTCACCAGCGATTGCATCGACTAGTAAATCTCTCTTTTACTAAATTACTGTAAATAATGTAATTTATTTGAAACATGGTATCCTATATGATCAAATTATGATCAACTTAGTTTACGCCAGACGTAAAAACACAGACTGACGACGTGAAGCAGCATCGAAGGAATAAAACGACTGTTACTGCAATCTTCAAAGTCAAAACTGCTAAGGGCGGCGATTATTGCAAATTCTCCACAATTGGAGAAGCGCATGGCTAATAGATGACTTTTACGATTTCAACAACACGTTTATATTTACACTTTAGCACAAAATAAATAAATTTTAGTTACACTAAAAATTTTACTACTATTTTATCATATATCTTAACATATTAAACAATAAAAATATATACAAGTGTATACAAAAAATCTATTTACGTAAATAGTGTTAGAAACTTTGAATTTCACTAGTACGTTGCTCGCCTAAAATCCGCTAGCCCTGACTATGTACATCCTGGGTTCCGCGCGATTGTAGGTATTTATATCACGTGGGTAGTAAGAGTGCTAGGTCACTCTTACTACCCACGTCTTGACTCTAGGCTTACTCTAGGCTACTAGGCTCACTGACTTTAGGCTCTCTTGTGGTGCAACAAATACAACGTATGTCCAAACTCAAAGATTTCACGACGTGCACTGGCTGAGGTGAACTGTTCGAGTTTGTTTACTTATTTTTTTTATATAAAAATATAAAAATTTGTTAATTGTGTTTTTGAAATGAACCAAATAATATTAAGTCTTCAATTTATATAAGTTTGACATAGTTTCATTATGAAATAATCAGCCAGCATTATGTTTTTCTATCCGATTACAATGTGGGCGTCTTTAAGATAAGATTGAACAGGCTTTTATTAAGTCAGTGCCATTTTCGGCCACATCAACAATTACCATCAGGTGAGATAGTAGTTAAGTGCTGGCTTATAATATGTATAAAAATATTTAATAATAAATTAACCCTACAATTCTGATACTCTGCATTCGTCTCATTTTCTCAAAGTTTAGCTTTCTGAAGATTTTACCGCGTGTGAACTGCACACATTTTTTTAAACATAAGTGACAAACTTACAGTCCACCTGATTGTAAGTGGCTACTTGTAGTAGTCAACTATTGGGCATGGCCTTTGCAGGATATGGTCACCTATAGTCAACTATAAACAGAGAGGGGAAGAGAAGGCAGGATGCGTTTTCACATCTGAGTACTAAGATGGAATGCCTCAGAGCCTAAAATTTATACTGGTCATCTATACTTTAGATAAGAACCCAGCAGTGCAGGACTGCTATTTAACAGCATAAATAAGTAAAAGAGTCTGAAAAGAATCTGTCAAATTATTTTCATTCCTTAATTATTTTCTTAAATTATTTTTTAATTTAATATAATTATTAACATCTTACATATTTAATTGTAAATCTAACATCGTATTACTACAACATTTTATTGTAAATTTAATTGTAACTTATGTAGGTTATATATGAGTACATATTTAATATGTCGCAATTACCACATTATCACCATAACACCAATCAACATAGTAAAGATTGTGAGTTTGTCGACGAGGATAGTATACCGCATACTCAGATTCATCAAACGGTATTCGTTGCAGGTCATACAGGTTTACGCACCAACTTCGGCACATCCCGATAAGGAGTTGAAGGAAATGTATGAGGATATATCTAAAGCCATGCATTCCTCCAAAACCCACTACATAGTGTTGATGGGAGACTTCAACGCAAACCTAGGCACAAGAGAGAACGGCGAGCTGAGCGTGGGGAAATTCGGAATAGGGTAACAGAACCCAAGAAGCTAGCAGGTGGCCGATTTCATGGAAAAGAGGGAATCTTTATGATAAACTCTTTCTTCCAGAAGTGGCCCCATAGGAAGTAGACCTGGTCGAGCCCTTGATTTCATTGTGACGATTAGATGGCAACTGTTCATGGATGTCTAAGTGATTGCGAATGTGAAAACTGGTAGTCATCATCGAATGGTTAGAGGCACACTGAAGCAAAACGTTAAGTTGGAGAGGTTTCGTCTAATGAAATCAAACGCTCTGTCCCCCTCGTGAATACAAAGTCCTTTTACCTTTCAGCTAGAGTTACGAACCAGTTTTGAGTGCCTAGAAGACTGCAATGCAGTCGGCGGTATGAATAACAAGCTCGTGGAAACTGTCCATGCGGTCGGAGCTAAGTTTTGCGAGGCCAGCCGCAGTACAACACCAAAACTTTCCACATACATTCTTAATTTCATAACTGTTATATGGAAAATGAAGCTGCCATCTTCAGTAGATTTGATAGCATACAGGAAACTGAACAGACAAATCTCCAAATGCATGCGGCGGGTCTTACGCAACATTAATACTGTTCGTATTGAAGAAGCAATCGAGCGGAACCGGAGCGCCACAGTTTTTTCCAGGGATCTGTCTGCCAGAAAAAGCCAACTGTCAAAGCTGAATACCGAATGTGACAACATCGTTTCCGGGACACTTGTGTTTTGAGTGAGATTGAGAGGTTCTATAAGCAGCTGTATATATCATCGATGGAGTCACTGCAGAAGGTGTAAGACAGGGTGACGTTATATCCCCGAAACTCTTTACTGCTGCATTGGAAGACGTTTTCAAGCTACTGGACTGAAAAGATACGGTATTAACATCAATAGCGAGTACGTCACTCACCTTCAATTTGCCGACGATATAATTCTTATGGCAGAATCGCTGAAGGACCTAAACACTATACTCAATGACCTTAATAGAGCCTCCAACGGATAGGTCTTAAGATGAACATGGACAAAACAAAGGTCATGTTTAATGTCCATGTTACACCTATGCCGGTAGTTATTGGGAGCACTAAGCTTAAGGTTGTTAACGAGTATGTTTACCTGGGACAAATAGTCTGACTAGGTAAGTCCAACTTCGACCGAGCGGTCAATCGACGGATTCAACTCGGTTGGGCAGCGTTCGGGAAATTACGGCACATCTTCTCGTCAGGTATACCTCAAAACTTGAAAACGAGACTGTACAACCAGTGTGTGTTGCCAGTAATGACTTATGGAACTGAGACGTAGTCCTTAACTGCTGACCGAATGAGGAAGCTCAAGGCCGCTCAGCGAGCTATGGAGAGGGCTATGCTAGAAATGAGCATATCCGCTGTAGAACCAGAGTAACCGACATAGTCCAACGGATTAGTAAGCCAAAGTGGCAATGGGCTGGCCATATAGCTCAAAAAACCGACAACCGATGGGAAAGAAAGTCCTTTAGTGGCAGCCCCGTACCGGTAGGCAAAGAGTAGAGCTATCCCTCCACTATATAGAGTGATGAACTGGTAAGACATGCAGGAAGTCGATGGATATAGGTGGCTCAGGACCGTGCTTTGTGGCATTCTTTGGGGTAGGCCTATATTCAGTAGTGGTATGATAATGTTGTATTATGATGATGAATCACCACATTATGTGACATTGGAAGGATGCTTGTGCCTATAGCTTAGAGAAGCAGTTTATTTATTTCGTTTTTTATTGCATGTACTTTAGATTTATAATTTCTTTAAGTATGTGTGTGTCAATAGCATAAATCAATAAATAAATTATTGGTCAGTTCTACAACTACTGGCACTGAGAACAAATCTTTTATAAATGTAAGCGCATACTTCATTTAAAGGACGGGTGAAATTGCGGTTATTCCTAGATGGTGTCTACTTTAAACGTTTCTAGCCGGAAGCTTAGGGAAAATGTGGGTATTTTCCTTTATATTTCTCTCTTTTCAGTTACGAGTGTCAGAAAAAATCGTACTGCTGAAAGAAATGAGAAAAATTGGCTAGGGTTACGTTCATTTGTCTTTACAATGTATTGGACCTCCCCCATAGATTGCCCATATGGCTTTGCTATAGTTGTAACGCTTGACAGAAGGGTTGCAAACGCAGTTTTTTCTACCGATATCAAAAAGGAGACGGTACTCAATTCGACTGTATGTTTTTTTTTTATGTGTTACCTCATAACTTTTTACGAGGTAAAAGGATTTCGATGATTCTTTTTTATTTGAAAGCTGTTGCTTTACATGTGTTTTCATATAAATTTGATTA